ATGTATGAGGACTGCATTGCTGTGAGAAAAGCCAAGGGCAATCCAAACCCAAAGTAGTAAGGCCAATTCCTTTCTATGTTTGACAACCGTTGGTGCATTCCAATTCCTTTATTGAACCAACGATATTCAAAGCAATATAGTGAGTAGAGAAGGGACGTATGCAGGAGACTAACCAGCTGACCAACAAGATGGATGGGAAAGAGACTCACAAACATTCCCTGGATAAGGAAAAGAGCCTGCAACAAAAGGTTGAAGAGCATGTCAGCAATTATTTTGCTGACACTAGGAAATGGGTGAGGCTTCCTCCCTGATACCTCAAATGCCAGGTCAGCTATATCCTGCAACAGAGAATATACACAAAAACATTAATTAAATGGCTCTGATATCCACCCCCAAAGCTAAGGCCACTGCTCTGCCACTAGAACTGCCAGGTAAGAAAAGCCCCCAGACATCTAGCAATGAGATGAAGACAAAGATCACCCACTGGCTTCTTGGCCAAGAAAGGTCAAGTCTGAAAAATAGGTCCCTATATGGCCACTAACTTCACAGACTGAAACTTGTCACCTGTCAACCCATCATGCTATAACTACCCAGACTCCATTCTGCCCTGGACCTACTTGAAACCAAATGGCATTCACAACTTTGCTAAGCACAAACAGGGGCAGCACCCAAAGAGCACTGAAAACTGATGTGAGGAAGAACTCCAGCCATGACCAAACATCTCCATGTAGTGATGGATCACCTAAGAAAGGGGGAAACGAGTTAATAGATTAACTGGAGAAATGGAAAAACAGAAGACCAAATATGGAACTCCTATTTTTAGACTATTCTTCCCTCCCCAACCCCACATCTTTCTTTCTTGCTAGCAAATCACTATACCTAGCTGAAAGAGTCTAATTCATAATAGACACACCACATTCTGGCCACAACTCCAATTCAGAGTAACCATAAAAATGTGCTCATCTTAAAACAAACCTGCATACATGGTGATGACTCAGATGCCAGTCATTACCAGTATATGATTTGCAGGAAACCACCTGGGTTTAAATCCCAGCTCTGCCACTTACTAGTGGTTTAACCTGGGTAACTAACTTCCACTTTCTCATTCACAAAATGGATAGAATAGTACCCATCTCAAAGGGTTGTCAGGAAGTCTGAGTTAAAAACATCTAAAGCTCCTGGTGCACAGGAAATGTGCAGTAAACCAAAGAAGACTAGTAACGTCTCCCACCTCCATCCCCAGCAGACAACAAGAAGCAAGGTATACATTTTACTCACCGATAATGCGGGCTGTTACTGACTGAAGCACAGGAATAAACACTCGATAAAATAAGAGAAGACTAAACTAAAGAAAAGAAACAACAAGGTACACATCAAAAGCCTTTCTTTAAAACAACCATTTCAAATTTCAGTGTAATGATTTTACATGAGAGTAACTTCTATAAATCAGGACCCTGAAAAAGCACTAAAATTGGACCTGTTTCTATTTCCCAATACTCTAGTTGAGAGGTACAAAACTGATACTGGCTATAAAACAGTGAAGCTTTTGGGGGCAAAGAACATTTCAAATATTAATAGTATATGCCTGTATTTTGGCCTGAATGCTAAGTACAAAGTAATGCTTACTAATTAAATCTAAAGCTAACATCCAAAAACATCTGTGAAATGTTTAGATTAAGATGAGCTGAATTACACTGAATTCTAAGTCAAAGGAAATATTAACTACTTGTTCTTCAAAGTACTCAAATTTCACTTAAGCCTATGTTGGTTCTCAGTTAATTGTAGGCAACCTTTTCTGCTATGGGTTTCGATAGTAATCAATTCTAGCCAATCACTATAACCAGAAGGAGGGAAAAACTTGCTCTTGTCCAGTAGCAGCTGCTCTTCCCATTTGATCCCCATAGTTGCTCTTAGCCAAAATGTCCAGACAATGTCAAGAGAAATTATTACCTATAACAATACTAAAACTTGTGAGTCATTTTTTTTTTTTAAGGCTCGTCAAGTGAAGCAGTGGGAGTGGAGATGAATGAATCATTTTTTAAAAAAATAATAAAAGTATATAGG